ACCCACCCTATTAAAGTCTAAATGGAGCCCCAATTTTTTTTTAAAGTGCCACTTTCTGTGACACCCTGTGGGAGAGGGCCTTTGGGAGTACTTGTTGGAAAATTCAGTATGTGGAATTACATTGCTGGAAATTGCTTGCACCCACATTTTTGAAGACACTGATCTCATCAAATACTTCCATGATATCTAACCTCTGAATTAAACTTAAGGTTCACTTGCATTCCTGGGTGCCTGTCTTCCCTAGGATAGTAGAGTTCTTATTCTGAAAGATTTTAATTAAATTAAAACTGTTGGGGCTCCATTTAGACACATGTAGGGTGGGTATGCTCTTCTCTTACGGATCTCCTGGGGTTTCGACAGTCAGAAAACATTGATGGGTTGCAGACAAATGGTGTTAATGGTTTTAATATAATACTTAAATCTTTGTACATATACCCACCTCTCTCTTGAAGAAGTTAATTTTGTTCAAGAAATGCTTTGAGATTTAGCATTGTCTTCCCATCACAGGGTAACATGGATATTTTTTGATATACAGTTGTAACTTACAGTGAGATAACAGGAACATGTAGTTGATGGTTTCTGGGTTAAGGTGTAGATAAATATTTGATGATACCAGTGTTTTCAAAATGTGTTTTTAAAAAATAATTCTTGCAGACTGTTTGTGATTTTAGGGCTTGTCTATACCAGGGCTCTTTTTAGGCTGCAGGCTGGTGCCTGTTGTGTACAGGCCATGGGGGGGCGGGGCCTCACATAGTTATATGCAAGTCAGTTACTTAATTTTTTTTAGATCTGCAATTAAAATGGTGCTGCACATGTGACACCAGCCATTTGAGGGCCTAAAAGTTTGGTTAAGAACTGACATAAGCAGTGTGGCAACTGTAGCATACTTGGAAATCAGTTAAATGTGTGGTTTAGTTCCATTTTAAGACCAGCAGGGAGATCAAACCCTGACCTAGTCCACCAAATATTGGGAAATCTGTTTTTAATGGAGTTGCTCTTTAAATAATATTTAGTTATACACTTTACATGATACAGTAGTCAGTCTCTCCTTGCCTTATTGCATATTACTTGTGTATAATATGGTATGTGGTCAGAAAGGCATTGAGCACCTTATGAAGACACTGCCGAGAACAAAATAAAATGTAGATGTACTGTAATACCAATGCAGGATTAAACAATATAGACATTCAGATTTGCAGTTTGCATGCTGGGCCATTGGAAAAAAGGATTATAAATCTTTTGAAAACCAGGAAAATTGCTACAGTTTACATTTTGTTAAACTACAACAGAAACACATAGAGGGAACGTGATCCATTCAATACAATGGTAGAGTCCTTTTCTTGCTGTTTTAGTGCAGTATACAGACAAACTGCCACAGTGGAAATGGACCCTTAAAATCAAACTGCATCCAAAACATTTTTATTACATTTAGAATAGATTTGGGAAGGGTTACATCTTGTCAGGTTTGTACTGTGATCTGTGTCCTCATTGAGGAGAGTTATTCTCCGTTGGGTGATTAATGGGACAGCAAGTGAAGGAAATCTTTTGCATGGGGACAAATACAAATCTGAAAGGTTCATATTCTTCCTCACTTTATTCTAAACTAAAAAAAATAGTTTTAGTTGGATTTTTTTATTTTAAAAATGTTTTTTAAATGTTGTTTTTATCTAAGAATAATTAATTGCACATACATTTAACAAATAAATTTTTTTCTAAAACAGTACATCACATTCTTGTAGTCTGCACATATTTAAATATTTTAAAAATATATTTTTGACCTTACTTTTAATCAAGGAATGATTCAGTATACATATATTCAACAAATATTATTTAAACAATATATCCTTATATTTAAATATAAACTCCAAAAATTACACTTAAATAAAATGACTACATAGAAAATAGTTCACATTTTACTGTAACAAAATATTTTCATAAAATCCTGTTAGATATTGGCTGATTATTTTTAGATCAGTATATATAAAGGAAATAAAACTACATGATTTCAAAATGTATCTAAAAAACCCTGACAAGGGTTTTAAACCTTGCCAACCCTATCCAAGACTTAACAAAATTGCCACTGCATAAACTTTAATGCTTAAGGGCTTGCTCACACCAACAGTCATGCTCAACCGCCCAGACAGTGCCGGTGCTCTCAATCCAGCCGCACCACACTGTTTCTTCGTTGTTAGAATGTTACTAAAATGTCAGAGATGACATTTCATTAGCCTCTATGTGCACACCCTGGTGCTTTGTGGTTGTACTGCGTCTCACTGAGGTGCACTTAAAAGAAATACTCATCAATACTTTTTTAAGTGCATACCATTAAAACATGGTGGTGTGAACGGTCATCACCCATGACAAGGTAAATTGCCTTTTCTTGAGTTCAGGCTGCGTTGGAAAAAGACGTCCAGCACAGCTCAAAAGCATAAAAGGGGCCGTAACTCTTGACATATAACCCTTACTATTACCTTGAAGCATATTCCTTAAGTTGCAAGACCTATTTTATCCTAACACCAAACCAAATATTAAATTAATTGACTCACAAAATTCCACTATCACTGAAAGTTAACTCAACTGAAGTCTAAAACCTAACCTTCAACCTAAACTTACCCCTTAACCCATACCTCCACCTAACCTGAACCACTTGAAGTCCGGGGTGTTGAACCCCCTTCCTGTCCAGGCCATTGTTCAGTATTCAGCGCTGCAGTACTTTGACTGACATTTATTCTGTAATGCAACGTTGTACTGAAATGAATTTCATACCCTTTTTTGGGGACAGATAGAGCTTTCTTTTGGTGGTATTTAATCACCACTGGGGTTTTTATTTTTTACCATAGTAAGAAAAAATTACTGATTTTTTTAAAAAAAACTGTTTCCCCCTATATTAAATTATAAAGCATTTATTATTACCCAATTTTTTGATAAAATATAAAAGACAGGGTCACGTTGGGTAACTAGACACCAAACACATCAAGCCTTAAAATTGCGCACGCCCGCGAAACCTCAAAAAACTACAATACCCAAAATTGACCATAGGCGACACTTTAAAAGCTTTTACCGCTCATCGGTTTAGTGTTATCAGTGATTGATGGCCTTAAAATTATTGCTCTCACTCCGACGTTTGCTGTGATATGTAACATGTGTAGTGCAATTGTCGTTTTTGTGCACTGGCGCATCTGACGCGTATTTACGTTAATATGTGCGTAAACATGGGGGTAGGGTACTTAAACATTGTTTTACTTTTTTTATATGCGACTTATTTTTGTTTTACACTTAATGCTATTGCTATCACATAGGCGGATAACAATCTCCCTATGTTACAGCACAGGCACACTGACAGGTCCTCTTTATGAAGACATTAGGGATCTCTGACCCCTAATGTCTGCTTCATCAGCTTCTTCTCTGGCTATAATAGCCAGAGGACTGACAGCTGAATGCGGAAATAATTTATTACACATCACTTCCGCATTCAGACGTCGGAGGGAGGTCAGCAAGGAGGAAGATGCTGATCTCCCTCCCATCTTCCTCCTGACACCCCCCCCCCCCCCCACCGAAGCCGGTCCCGGGCCGCAAACGGGGCAGCAGATCCTGGGATTGAAGGTGAAGGTGCAGGATGTGAGGGGGGGGGGGGAGACGGCGGCACTCGAGGAGGGGGGGTGTGCGCAGGCAGTACATACAAGCGATTGGATGGCTGTAGTGCCGCCGATCGCTTGTATGTGAAACAGCTGACCATGCACACGCACTAAAAATAAAAGCTGTTTATTTACGGCAACCCGCCAATGGGAGTTTGCCATCCGTCCGTTTTTTCACAACGGGCAGACGGCAAGCAGTTAAAGTAGAACTGAAGGTTTAAAAACAAAAATTGCTGACAGTTTCTTTTATTTTTTTTACAGCAGAAGAAACTGCCAAAAAAAATTGTACCAAAAAGCTCCTACCTGCCTGTCAGCAATTTTTTTTTCACACATTGGCTGTGCCAAAGTCCTGTGCCAATATTAACCAACTCCTGTGTGCATGTGTGAGAGTTACACTATACCGGCCTAGCCAATCAAGATGCTGAATCTGAAAGACTGGGTGAAGATGGAAGCACCAGTGATGGAGAAAATCATGGACAGCACAACGCTGGAGGTGATCATTTATAAGGTAAGTCAGCCATAATGTACTAGTATGCTGTGCTAGTATGCTGTATGTGCTAGTATGCTGTATGTGCTAGTATGCTGTATGTACCAGTATGCTGTGCATACTGGTACATACAATTTTTAGTCAGTTTTACACTTACTGCATAATGCACTAGGGTGAATGTCGAAAGGCTTTCTGTGCCCCCTCTGTGAAGGTGCTTAGAAATGTACTTAATGTAAATGTTGCAACTTATAATGAAAACTGCATATAGACCACCTAATTTCTAGTAATGATGCTGAATGTAATCAGATTTTCTGCACTGCACCACTCCAGAACTCAGCCAAAGCAATGGGCAAGAAGCTACTATATACATTGAAAGCAACCCTCCTAGCATCAGGAGTGATCAGAACTGGCAGACATGATAATATATTTGGAGGAGTAGATGGAAAAATTAGTTACTCCTCTACCCAAGAAAATAACATAGCAAACAAGTAAACGTATGGTTATGCTGTATCATTTCTATGTGTTAAATATACAGAGGGTCATTTATCAAAACTGGAGCAGACAGAATCTGGAGCAGGAGGACAACCAATCAGCTTCCCTCTTTTATTTCCAAAGCTTACAAGAACAAAGGGAAGAGAGAAGCTGATTGGTTACTATGGGCAACTGCTCCAGATTCTATCGTCTCCAGTTTTAATAAATCCCCCCACACTTTATTCATATTGCATTTATTGCTATTATAAGTAAAAAATATGTTCCAAAAAATATATCTGCATAAGCAATGCATTAGTTCACCCTGACAATATTTATGTGCACCGTATCTTATGATGACTAAATATATAGCCAGATTTTTCCACTGTATTAGTTTCCACCTTGAAGTTTTATTTCTCCAGAGATTCCTCCTTGCTCTGTGCACATTGCTGGGTCTCTTTTAGTGTGAATGACACCTCTGTGCCAACTTTCAGCATAGATGGGTGAGATGAACATGGTGAATTCTGCAGGTACATTCCGAACGTTGTCTACAAAATAGTAAAAGCAGTAAAGCAGGTTTTAGGAACATGAAACAACTCATGATAATATTAAAATAGAAAATATTAAAATAGATAACCCTACATTCTGAGATGTAGGGTTATGCTGCTACCTCTAGGAAAAATGGACACTAAGCAGACAAATAAAAAGCCTGTCACTTAAGGACATAACCCCACCCACCTCACACCTGCCAGTTTAGCTTAGTGTCCTCAGGAGAATGGATGTGTCCTTCTCTTCTGCTTTATTATTTTAGCTTATCTTGTTTCTTCAAAGAGATTCTACTACTGAGGGCTGCTAGATGGTTCATACCGGATCATTTTAAATCCTGATAATTCTCACTAGGTAGCGACATGACATATTCATAACAGATAATGTTAAATCCTGGGAGCTTCTCGTGTCTTCAAAATGCAGGTCATCTTTGGTCTCAGTACTTATGACTCATCCTGCTGTGGTCATGAAGCAGGTTGTTTCTGGTGTCAGTACTTATGACTCATGCTGTGGTGGTCCTGTGTCCTGAAGCAGGACGTCTCTGGTCTCAGTACTCATGGCTTGTCCTGCAGTGGTCCTGTGTTCCTGTTGTCATCATTTAACGGTCAGGCCAGTATTAACCTCGGGATTCCTGTTGTTATATTGGGAACAGGACTGTGGAGTTGTGAATAGAAAATGTATTTACCACATGTTATAAGGTTGGGTGTTTTCCCTTCTTTTAATTTTGCTTTGACTGTGTGTCTTTAACTCCTATTTGGCTAAATGCTTTTACTTGTGGAGTTTGACTGATATTATTTACATTTCCTGCCGTCGCGGGAGGAAGCTAGGACTTTGATGTGATGACGTACTTGTTTTAATCTACAACGCATGTGCGAGCATGCGCAGTCTGTTTTTTTGGTTTCCTCAGAGCGGTGTGGTACGTTTCCATCAGTAGTAGAGGTGGACGGAGTGGTTTCGACTCTGCTTTCTAATTTCTAAATATTACACAGCCAGTCTTCAAATATTCTGCTGTCTGCAGCAGATGGTATCTTATATTTTTACCTGAACGCCATGAGTATTATTGTGTCTGATGCTGTCTGGGGGAGAAATGTCAAAACAAACTGTCATTAGCAGGGCACTGTGTGAAAATAATATTTTTCTTTTCTACTCTGTGTCTTACTATAGTTTTTATTCAGAAACTTGTGATATTTCGGATTTACATTGGTCACACTGATATTTCTGGTTCTTTCAGTCACAGGTGACCTGTACATTACAAGGCCTCTGACCCATTGTGACCCCCTGTGTTTGTTATATTGTATGTATTTCACTAGCTGGCCACAGGGGAGCTCTCCCCTTTTTTCTGCTCAGACTTACTGGGTAAAACTGTTAATTACGTAGTTTTCACTCACTCAAGAGCGGCAGCCCTCATGAAATAATGTTTCAGGGCCACACAGGGTTCCCTTCATCTGGTCATTTCAAGCCTGTTGTTATTTGTTTTGACATGAAGCATCAATAAACAGACGTGTTCTTCAGTTCAATATAGTGTACTGGTGACATCTTTAACATGATTGAGTTGATCCACACTTTATTGATTGTGGATCAAATGACTGTTGCTTCTCATTTCATATGTGATGTGTTTGTTGATGCTTGTCGTCTGTTTTTTTATGTATTTCTCTTTACCATTCAGATATGCAGAGCTACCTGGTTTAAGTGTGGGTCAGTGGAATCCCAATCCAGAGGGATTTTTTGCATTTACCCTACTTGAGATAGTGAGCTCTTACCTAAGATGTAGAAAAATGGGAACAGCGTCATAAGCCTGCTTCTTATTTTTCATCTTTTATGTGTTTCTTTAGTCCCCAATTTTCAATAGACGTCTTACACTTTCAAACCTTTGGACCCTCTAGACATCCTTGGCAATTAAAAAGTCTGATATAACATGAAGGTCTGCTCCCTCGTTTTTCTATATCTGGTTGAGGGATGCCTGATGGTATTTGCGGAGACATGGGAAACTAATTTCAAAACATATTTTCATTTTCTTCCTCCTGTGTTTCGGCTTCCTCTGTCTTGGCATCGTCGGATGAACTACGGTTTAAGGTCTTTTGCATCTAGGTGTTATCAATTCCTGTTCCTTTAGCAGAACGTTTTCAAGGTGTTTACTCAAACCTGTTTACGGTTTACAAACCCAACAGAAGACTACGTTTGATTCAAGATTGAAAGCACTCAATGTGTTTGCACCTATTCACAAATTCCAGATGGAATCCGTTCAGCTGGTTGTTGCTTCTCTTAGGCACAGAAATGTTTTGGTTTCTATCGACCAGATAGGTATCTACTCATTCCTGTACTTCCAGCTCGTCAGCATTTCCTTTTGTTTTGCAATAGGCGACCTTCATTATCAGTTTGTGGCTCTTCCCTTGGGTTGGCTTTGGCTCCAAGGGTTTTTACAAAAGTTCTTGTTCCAGTCCTGGGATTTTTTTTTCACAAGGGCATTCAGATTATCAGATTTTTAGATGACTTTTACTTCAAGAACAGGTCTCCTCCTACTTTGGAGCTCGATGTCTATATTGGAGAACTTCAGGTGGATTCTGAACATGAATGGATGGTGTCTCCTTTCTGATGTGTTTCAAGAACTTTGTCACCGCTGGGGATCTTCTGGCTTCTCATCACAAGAAGTTTGACAGACTTGTGTTCAGAGTGAAGGATTCAATGGCAGATGCCTTAGGACCTCCATGGGATCAGTACACACAAATGTATGTTTTTAGCTCTATTAATGTTGTTACTGCGACTGCTTCACAGCATTATACACAAAGGAATTCCAGTCAGTCATTCTCTTTGCTCCAGTTTGGCCTCGCAAGGTGTGGCATGCCGATTTGGTTCATCTGTTGGCAGATTAGCCAGATTTGTCATCTTCAAGCCCAATCTTCCCCCCTGCTTCTTGGTCGCTGGTTTTAATGGCCTGGTTTTTGAAACCCAAGTGTTGGAAATCAAAGGAATTTCAATTTCTGTTATTCTGACTATGCTTTAGATTTTTTATCATACCTGAAAGGTTGATTTGCGTTGGTATAAGTCTTTGGGATTTTCCCCACGTGCTGTTTTATATTATATAAACTTGGGGTAGATCAATATTTAACTCTAAGTGTCAAACATCTGCCTTGTCTGTCTTTTTTTTCCGATGTACCCTTGCTTCTGATTCCTTTATTCATACTTTTTGTCACAGTTCAGCTGCAGAGTTGCAGCTGAGCTGTCACTTGTAGTTCCACAAGTATGGGCAGACCTCTTACGCCTAGTTCTGCAGGCATGCAGGGCTGTTGCCTGTAGTTCTCCAGGCATGTTCTCTGTTACTAACTTGCTCTTGCACTAGTTGTCCGCCGACCTCTCCTGACGATTCTTATGCAGCTTCTCAGTGCGTTCAGCTTGTGGCCATTCCTGTGGTTCCTCCCTCTTGCATACTCCAATTACTCCACTAAACCCAACCCTAATAAACTAAACCCTAAACCCAAATCCTACAACAACACTAAACCCCAACTATATATATATATATATATAAAACCTGAAAGTAAAAAAGAGATATGAAAACTAAAATAGAAAAAAGAAGTATAAAACACAACAGAAAAGAAGGGCCCCAGCAGCTAGAAAGTAACAAAAGTAACTATTTGTGATGAGTAACTATGCCTGCTGAGTAACTTTTTGAAATAAGTGTGCCTTCAAACTCCAGAACGCACACTTTTTAGACTACTTTCTTTTGTTTCTTTTATGTCACATTCTTTTTTCCTCAAGGCTGACTTTAAACCTGCATGTTATTGAAACACAGGATAATGCACCATGCACACTGCAATGCATTGTGATGCAACTCATTTTTGAATGCTACCTTAACACACAAACCTCTGTTGCAACTGTACTGCAGTTGCATGGTAACACATTAACAACCACAATGCATGGTAACACACTAAAAAAATTGTGATTTTAGGTCTATTATGATGCAATGGCAGCTCGTTTATATGAAACCCAACTAGTAAAAGTGGGGACTGCAGGACAGAAAGGCAAAAAAGGAAATTGTGATAGGGGATTCCATCATCAGGAAGATTGCATCATGTGTCATGAGGGTCATATGAACAGAACAGATTGCTGTCTCCTTGGTTCTGATGCTCAGCATTTGGTGGACTGGATATACAGATTGCTAGGAAGGGTTGGGTATGACCTAGCTGTCTTGGTCTACCTGGGGACCAATGACAATACATGGAAAATTAAGGATGCTTAAGAAACAACATTGAGAACTAGGTTGCAAGATGAAGGGAAGTATCCTCAAGGTTATATTTGATAAAATTGCCTGCACCATCTGCTACACAAGAAAGACAGCAGGAGCAAAATAACCGACTTAGGACTTGGTATAAGGAGAGGTTTAGTTTTTAGAGCACTGTGGTGATATTTCATTGGGAACACGAAATGTGATATATATATCATAAATATATTCCTCAATCACCACACAAAGGATAAAACTTAACTTTGTGTGCACCAAATACCTTTAAAAATCCAGATATTACCTTGTAAAAATTGTAGTATCAACATCACTCTATTGCACATAGCCTGTGCAGACAACAGGGCTTTGGGATTGACCCAACAGGTCCACCCACAATAGACTGCCTGCAAAAAAAACTACAGAAGGGGGCTGATACAGTGCAAGACCAGTCACCCTGCACAATGGGGAGAGAGAGTAGCAGTGACTGGTCTGCTTTACAGAAACTCCTGCGCAGAGACAACGTTTTTACATAGGATTACTTCACAGATCTGGAAGGAATACATAAAGGACACCAAGATTTAAAAAGCAATAGACATGCATATACATGGAAGGGGGACTGCTGTTCTAGGAGAGAGGTTAGGGGTAGATTGGAAGAGTAAAGCCCCCCAGAACCTAGCATTAATGAAAAAGTAAAAAGACTTAGGTAGGGTATACATGGTTGGAATTTCAAACAAACAAAATCGATTTTGGAACGTTTGTTCTACTTTCTAACCATTGTTGGGGTTAAACCGATGATCGATTTCAACCATAGTGATGAAAAAATTCAAAGTAGCTTGTTGTAAATTTTTCTAGATCTAATGCAATTATAACAGTGAAAGTGGTTTTCATTGGGGAAACTCCATTCATTCCAAAATAAAATATTATATAAACATGAAAATCAAATGAAAGTTTGAGCTACAATCGTCAAGTCTCTTATGACATCATCAAACATTCTGATGAAAATTTTCATACAAATATTCGTTCGAACATCTACCCATGTATACCCCACTTAAGCTCCTTACACAGGTCTGCACACTCTGGGGCAATGGTAATAATGTGGGATTTTAACTAGTGACTGGTATAATGGGACTGCTGGTACAGAAAAAGGGTGAACAAATATAATACTTTTACAGGGCAGTTTTATGGAAAGGCAGTTTACAGAAGCCCCCAACTAGTAAAATGCTCTGCAGGGCCGGTTAACATCTAACCATTCAAAACGTTTCATATAATCGAAGATCTGAACAGCAGTGACCATAACATTATTTAATTTTTTTAAGTTGCAAATAACAAGCAACTTCTGGAAAGACAAAGACCTGCTGACGGCTAGGACCAATTTATGGTTTCTGAAGCCCATAACAATTAGCATTTCCGCATTTACTGTAAGTATTTCTAAAGCCATTTTTTTAGGTTTCAATAGAATTGGGAAGGGTTAGCAAACCTGCCAAATGTGATGTGAGATTTACCCACTCTATCTGTCCTAGAAACCATTGTCACTGGGACTACAAGTTAGGGAGAATCCAACATTTTGAGATCACCAGAACAGGAATATAAGGGGTATCTTCCAATAGGGAAACTTGTTCTAGTGACAACTGCCTAACAAAAGATTTTCCTCACTTGGGAGAAATTTCTTTAAATTCTTGTTGTGTCTATAGGAAAGGAAGAAAATCTCCCTAATGGGACACAGGTGCTTTTTTTTTTTTTTGCTTCAGTTACTGAGCTCTATTACAATTATGCTGCACATTTGCTTTTTAAAAACTCTACATAATTTTTCCAGTTACTATATTTAAAACTTAAGGCTTCAAGACTAGGAACTCATTTAAAACACTGCAATAAGTTAAACGTTTGATTGTAAATATGCTCACCTTTCCTTCTCTGCTGGATGATAAAGTCTGTAAAACTTCTCTGCTTTTTTCACCAGTTGACTGGTTAATACAAATGATTTGGCATCTGGTACATTTGCCTGAAACCTAAAGAGAAACAGACATGTGTATGTATGTTACATTATAAGATTTTTTAATATTTTTAACTGGAAGGCTTAAATATATTGACTAGATTACATTTCAAAATGTTGCCTATTGTCCAACATCTTTGATTTCAACAGATATTTATGTGAAGAAAAAAGCTACCAGCTGGGTTGTAATTTATCTGTGTAGCACCCGTATTTTTCCATTATGACCAGGGCTTGAAAAATTTGATAGTGTCTCATCAGTCAGTCAAAAATGTCACCAGTCAGCATGACCGGACTATAGCCTTGCAATTTATGTGAACATTTTTTAGGGACAGATAGAGCTTTCTTTTGGAGGTATACAATCACCACGGGGGAGGGTGTTATTTTTTTAAACTTTATAATGAAAAAAGTACAAAAACAAAAAAAGTTTCCCTACGTTATGTTATAAAACATTTCCTTTACCCATATTTTTTAGTAAAACATAAAAGTCGGGGGTCACGTCGGGTAAATAGACACCAAACATGTCAAGACTTAAAATTGCGTGCGCCCGCAAAATCGCAAAAAATGCCCATATGCGGCGATTAAACTGCTCATCAGTTTAGTGTTATCAGTGATTAATGGCTCTAAAATGATTGCTCTCCCTCCGATGTTTGCGGCGATATGTAACATGTGCGGCACAATAGGCGCAATCGTCGTTTTCACACGTAGGCGCACCCGACGCATATCTGCATATGTATGTGGGGGGCGGGGACTTAAAAACATTTTTTTCTTTTAATAAAAATGTTATGCTTCTTTATTTTTTTATGATTCTTTAATTTTTTTATTACTTTTTTTTTTTTACACACAACTTTATTGCTATTTCATGGGAGGGCTAAGAAGCCCCCTATGTGATAGCCAATTTACATGACAGGTCCTCTTTACGGAGACATCAGGGGTCTCCAAGCCCCCTAATGTCACCTAGGGACCCCCAGAGAAGCTGATGAAGCAGAGATCTGCTTCATGAGCTTCTGTAGCTGGGAAAGTGAAACTGAATGCAGGAAGTGATGTAATATATGGGGATTGAGAGGAGATCAAAGGGAGTTCGTATAATGTACTCCCTTTGATCTCCTGTCACAGAGCCGTACCGGTCCCGAGCGCATTGGTCACAGCGGATCTCGGGACTGGCACCAGCAGTGACAGTTGCTAATACAAGCGATTGAGCGTCTCTAGAGACGCCCGATCGGTTGAATGTAAAGCTCCAGGCCCGCCGTGTAATTACAGCGGCCGGCCGGGAAGCTGCTCATCGGGCTCCACCGTCCTCTCGTCACAGATGAGCGGATGAGTGGATTTTTCAAGCCCTGATTATGATATATGTAGTACTCCTTGTCATAGTGAATGAAGGTAGTGAGACTAAAACCCCCAATTTATTCTGCAGCAGGACAATGACCCCAAACATACAGCCAATGTCATTAAGAACTATCTTCAGCGTAAAGAGAAGAACAATCAGTCCTGAATGTGATAGTTTGGCCCCTCCGGATCTCAACATTATCGAGTCTGTCTGGGGTTACATGAAGAGACAGAAGGATCTGAGGCAGCCTACAGCCACAGAAGGTTAGTTTTCTGTGGTTAGTTTTCCAAGATGTCTGGAACAACCTACTTTCCGAGTTTCTTCAAACTTTGTGTGCAAGTGTACCTAGAAGAATTGCTGTTTTGAAGGTAAAGAGTGGTCACGCCAAATATTGATTTGATTTGTATTTCTCTTCTGTTCATTTACTTTACATTTTGTTAATTGTTAAAAAAATTAAATTAATACTTTTATTTCTCAAAGCATTCTTTCTTTACACCATTTGTTCACACCTGCCTAAAACTGCTGCACAGTACTGTATATAGAAGCCTAAAAATGGAATTGAAACAAAAACAAATTACACTGTACAAAAAACAGACATTTCCCAGCACACTCACTAGCTAGCCTGTCTACTTCCCAGGTCATCTAGATTTACATACCAGGGTTTTGATACACACCTACTAGGTTTAGCAGTTTAAAATGCAAGCAACTACACCACCAAAAACATTTACATATTCAGTGCAGCAAAAGTGTCTTCATGACAGTGTATACACATTCACATACACTTATGTATGCTTTAAAGCTGCTGTGAACAGGCTTACAATAAGCAACCATGGTCACGTTAAAGGTGCCAGGAGACAAACATTGACTCATATGTGTTGTTATGTGCATCTAGTTGCAAAGGCCTAAAATCCCACCTTCTTTTCTATAATAAAGGGGTATCTTACCACTTTTCTTGTGTGTATTTATAGTCAAACAACCTTGTCAGGTTTTTATTGCTCTCCGTTACCATCCTGGGGAGAGTCACTATTTATATTTGTCTTAGTGACCATTGTAATTGGAACTAAAAGTGGCAGAAAATCCAAAATTATAAGTTCTCACCAAAAGTAGTGGAAATATTCCAATTTCTTTTCACTTTCTGTTGTGTCTACAGGACAAGAAGTGACGGCAAATCTCCCAATGGGACACAGATGGAAAACCAAACCTGACCCATTCCCCTATCATTCTCTAATACTAAAAATAATTGCTTTAGAATACCAGCTTACATAACAAACAGGGGCAACACTAAGGGGTATATTTATAAAACAGTGAATGTGACATTTATCAATCATTCACTGCAGGTGTATCTTCCTTGTGCATGTACTTTATATTACTGTGATTGAGTCATCTCGTAAATGTAACATTCACTTAAATAAAGATAAATATTCAAGAAGGAAAGTTTTAAAATGGTACATATGCGAACAGTTAATAACATTTTAAGTCTCTAAACGAAGATATACTCTTTATTAATGCATATGAATAACTTGAAAGCAAGTGTTGAAATGTCCCAGTTACATAACAATTAATCCAGTCAATTCCTTCTGCACAGCATAGTATATGGTGTCCTGACAAAATATTCCCATACAGGTTTTAAATCCTCTCCAGTAAGCTAAGCGGAGAACAGCTCACACTGCACATTTTGTCAACTATGATATCCTATTCAGTCAGCACAGTTCTGTATTCCAAGGGTGAAGTATCAGCAAAATACAGTACAAATAAAGCTGCTTAAAAATATCTGTGTAACCCAACTAATCTGAGGATGTCTGCAAAACAAGCAATGACATCTAAGGAATCATTTTTTTCTTTTATTTAAAATTATGTAATTTGCCCTCTATGTTTAAAGCAGACAGAAAATAGCTTTCTGTAAGAAGTTTGGAAATCCAAACTTCCTGTTACCTCTTGGTACATCAAATACTTGTTTTCTCCCTACACTCTTATTTCATAGAGTGTTATTTGCACTAGATTTTATTTTATAGCTACTATGTTATGTATATATGCAAATATGGTGATGAGCGAATGTGTCTGGGTTCAATTCATTGGCTTTCAACAATATTTCAACAGACTGTTGTAGGCCAAATTGGCAAAATGCAGCTTTTTGAGGACAAGAAAACAAAATAAAGTTTATATCTGTCACTGCTTTTATATAAACACAGGATAATAACGTGCAACAATGACAAATCTCTCTTTCAGGGCTAAGTCTGATTAATCCCCAATTGCAGAAGCTGAAACTGGCTCCCTGAAAATATGTTTTTGAATGGCTTCCATGGTCCATAATAAACCCTACAAGATGAGGGCGACCAAGCTTATAAAAAAGAAGGGATAACATAATTTGTTAAAAACCTCTTTCCCTTAGGACTTGGGCATCAACAGTCATGCCATCAAAACCAGCGACTGTGAAGCAAGGTAGCAGACCGGACCCAGAGCCAGGAAATCTGGTCGATTGTGAAGCCTCCATGGAGGTTCTACAGGCAGGCTGAGGATGTCCATGAACCACAGTTTCCTCGACCAACTAGAAGCTGGTAGGAATACCAGGACCCCCTCTAGAGCAATCCTGCGAAGGAGATGCTAAAGAGTATTAATGGAGAAAGGACCTAAAACTAATATGATCCCATGAAATCACCACTTTGCAAAGGCCTTGGGGTCCTTGGATCTGGTCAAAACCTGCCCAGCTTGTAGCTGAATCTGGACACCAAAAGGTCAACGACCATAGTATCCCAGCAGTGGTAGAACATTAGACACAAAACCCCCCAATACTCCAGGTGGTAAGAGGGGATCAGAAGAAGCATGGGTAGATGTTTAACCAACCATTGTGCTCTAACAGAAGAATTGTCTTGCAAATGTTCAATGTTAGATCCAACCCTGACTGAGCCTTCAAGAGGATCATCTAGAAAACTGACCATGTGAATACCCTGAGGTCACAACAGGGCTAGTATTGGTGGCAATACTCTTTCAAATGCCCGTGGGAAGTAGAAGGCAAAAAGAGGAGCCACAAACTGGTAATGTTCCTCCCCTATGGCAAAGCATAGAAAACACTGATGGCATCCCTGAAAATTGTTGGGTGCAAGAAAATATCCTTCTTGCAGGGAGGCAGTGACTGATCGAATTGACTCCACCAGGAATTTGCAAACATGTTTTGGAGTATTTCTCCATCTGATCTGGAAGTACCTGGAAACAGGAGCGATAACACCTGACCTTTAGAAGCTACCATAGCTTTCCTAGAAATGCCTCTGCCCTGACAGCAGATGCTGGAAGGCATGAACTGAGATCGGGAAAAAGAAAAGAGCTCCAGCTTGTACCCTTCCTAAAACAATTGACTGGACCCAAACATCCGGTACCTCCTGAATGCATTACCCTAGGGACTACCAAAAATGTCCCTCAATATGAAGGTGTCGCTTATTAGTGAAGGCTTAGAGTGTGGTTTAGTGGGCCTAATGGACTAAGACCTGCAGTACATCTTGTCTGGGAATCTTGCTTGGCTTTGAAGGAGTGAAAGCTGAGGTCCGAAGGATACCCTCTTAGAGGTACTTGCAGAGTGATTACTGTGACACTTTTGATTACAGCTTGCTAGGCAAATGGATAGTTTTATCACCTGTAATTTTCAGATCAATGCATTTAATCTATCGCCACAGAGACGTATTTACAGTTAGGCTCTGCCAAACAGTATTTTAGTCCTAGGAGTCTGGGCATCTGGACCAACAAAAGACCTACTCTAGATAGCTGGTGCAATGTGTCAACCAAAGTGTCCACACAAAATCCTAAGCCCCCGGAAGGAGCCCCAGCCTCACAAACCTACTTGATTAGAAGGCATTAAATCTGAGACATAGCTTTAGTTCAAACCACTAAGGTTTGACAAAGTCCTAGGGCTGCCACTACACATTGCACAGTAGGTCCTATTAGAGAAAAAAAGAGATCTTAAAAAGACCCTCCAACTTTTATCCCCAATACCCCTAATGGCAGGAACATCCTCTACCGGAACACAGAGATTTGTTCAGGTGGGAATAGCTGCAGTAGGTCTGGTACTCTTTTTGGAAAAAAATGCTCAAAAAGGGTCCAGCAGAAAAAAACATTTCAGAGGGGAAAAACTGTTTTTCTGTGCACTACCAGTTATCATAAAGTACCAGGAAAGGTCTTAGGGACTTTTTCCCCTTTCTTAAGAAACCCAAACTTGTAACTTTAGAGTGGGCATCAACCACAGGGTTAATAGAGATGCAATCCCTGACCACGTCAGTCACATGCAATGCATGCTGCAATGGAGCCAGGCAATTTTGGCAATAACCCTGCTAAGGGGAATTTATTCTGAAAGGGAGTCATCCGAAATGGAAGAAGCACTTTCCTGCCATTCTTCATGCTCTTTAACCTAATCAGGAATAAAGAACAGACATTGTCCACATCTGACTGGAAACCAGAAAGACCCGGAGAAGAGGAATAGTGCTTACAAACATGGCAACCAGATGCCTCTATCAAGGCAGAAATTGAGCCATGAATACTTACATGGAGGCCGCAAAATCATCGTACTTAGACAAGATGCATGTGCACCACCAGCAGCTGTGCGCCGCACCTCCAGTTCCCTTTCGCTTGCATTCACCATGTGAGGGGCTCTGATAACATACTCACAATTATTCCCTCTTGACTTGATCAATGCCCACTGTGCCTCAGGCCAGTTTTTTCATTCAATAGAGTCACTGTAGGATGGGGGAACTAGAACAGCCAAGCGCGCCCAGTTTAACATTTTTGAAGATGTGTAGTACGCACTGCCACATCATCCTTCTTTCTATTGCCAACCTCAAGATGGCCACCAGAACCACCATTGCAGACTCTGAAAAAAATGGCCTTTGGAGACGAAATGTGCATGCACAGTACATCATACCGGCAATTGTGGGCTCTGGAAAGATGGCCGTTGGAACCCACACTGAAAAGAAAAAAGAAAAAAGGTAATACAAAAACACTTCCTCTAGCCTGATAGAGGGAGATGAGGAAAAATAGCACTAAGGTACTATTTCAAACCCCATTACTAATAGGGGTGGAGTCCCCCAGCGCAAGGAGGCATTCAAGCTGCACACCCCCCAACCACTTTTCCCCTAAGGGGAATGGTGGTTTCAAAACAAGTGGGGCCCAGGGCTACTAGAGGCATCAGGCAGGGAGAAGGCAATAAGGGGGAGGAAAAAAGGACTAGGACTTACCACCATTCTGCGTCTTCTTCATCCAATGAACAATACTTCCTTAGCTTCACTCAATTTGGGAGAGCATACCCCCTTAGGGGTATTTACACCAATGCGGATACACAACTACCATGGACCTTTATAGCACCCTGCAGGTAACCCAATGTGCTGCACAATTTTGTGCCGATGTGGGCACCCACACAGGATCCAGTGCTAAAAGCAACATTACAGGCCGTCCCTGCATCTACTGACGCTGTCTTCGCAGGGTCCGGCCCCGAAGCTTCTGCTGTGGGGCGCTGATCCAGAAACTGCATCCTTGCTTAGGCAGCTGCAAGCAGTTGAAGGAACTTGATTGAAGACAATATTAGGTAAGATTTAACAACTGTTTTTTCAGAGAAAGAAATAACCTGTCCATCAACTAAGGATACTGGAAAAAACTGAGAATCTGTGGTAGGGGTTATGTAGGCCCCAATTGATCTGGCCAGTGTCCAGACACCTGACGGTACCACTAAATAGCCCATCCTTCCTGACTAACCCTGTGGCCTGTACTGTATGATCAATAAAAGACCGGAGAAATAAAAGGTTAGAATGTGCAGATCTCCTAATATGGAGAGTATTATTATCCATTATCCAGGAATACCTCCCAGCCAGTTTATATAAAAAATAAAACAGCATAAAAAATAGTGTTCTCTGCTGCAGCATGAAAATATTTTATTAAAAATTAAGAACTACCCACATACTTTGCTGGGCAATATACATTTCTTAGCAGAGTCATTATTGAAAAAAAAAATGTTTGAGAGGATAATACTACTTTAATGCAGAAATATACCTGAAAATGTAAACTGCCAATAAAAACTTCCACCCATGCCTCCTCTTGAAAGGGTATATTGCTATTAATGACCAAGTTGGCTCGGAACCGTTGAGTCATCTGATCCACATTAATTTCTTTTTTGTAGTCTGCCTGGTCACTAGAAAAAAAACAAAAACAAAAAGATTATTCAGGGATGTCACAATGACTGCATTTAATTTACTTATAGGCACAAGAGTTTTGATGATGAGTTATTTCCCTTAAGACACAAATCAAATTTAAAGTTTCCCAAAGGTTGGTAACCGATTAGTGGTAAATGCAAAGAAACTCAGTTTCTTGGTAAGAATATGCTTATACATCAGTTGCTAAAACATAATAAATTCTATGTTCTCCTTGTGCTTGCATGGATGTCTTTCGGTTGCCCTGGTATCCTTATCTACATTCCAAAAACATGCTCGTAGGTTAATTGGCCCTAGCATGTGTAAGTATGCATGTGAGATCGGCAACTTAGATCGTAAGCTCTTTAAAGGCAGGGACTGATGTGAATCTACAAAATGTAAATTGCTATGTAACTTATCTGCACTATTTAAATACTTGAAATAAATGCATCATTACATATTAAAATCCAACTGCAATCAAAACTTTTTTTTCACTTTTTTTGGAGTAGGTATGAGTTACAATATCTTTCAATTTTGTGATGCATCCTTATTGGGGAGGATTTTTATAGAGCGGGGAAAGTTTTAGAGCCTCTTTCAGGTTTTTATATGTTTTTTTTTCCTATTTGCAAATTTGCAAAGGATAGAAATCCACTTTGTGTGACCAAATACCTTTGGGATCCCAGTTATTACCTTGTAAATGTAACAGTGACTTCATCACCGGGCTCTATGTAGCTTGTAGAGACCCACCCATCAGGTTCACGCACTACAGGCTGCCTGGAGAAAATTACAGAAGGGGCAGTTAAGAGACCATTCACCCTGCACAAGCAGCAGTGACCAGTCTGTATTGCAGGAAACACCTACACAGAGGCAACGTTTCACACTGGATTATTGCACAGATCAAGAGGAAACACATAAAGCACACATACATTCAAGTCAGAATACACATGCCTCTTGTATGTGGACAATATATGCTTATTCCAGAGTGCAAATTTAAACACATTAGTCATCCATAACCTTAAAAACAGCATACCAGATTTCCAAATACTATCACTGAAATAATATAAAATACTAGCATTTGTGAAAATTACAACATAATCTTTTATTTCTTAATAATTTTAAATTAAGTGTTAGTTCTATGGCCCTTAAATTTCTGGAACTGATTTATCTGTGTAGTTGGCAATAGTTTAACATGTTCAATTGTATTGTAGCTTGTTTTGCAAACTATGGGCTTAGAGCACCATAAACCAAATTATGACACACCTATTAAATCATAGTTCTAGCTTTTCTCTGTGTTTTAGTTTTGTGTTCTCCAGGATATATAAACTCCATAATTCTGGAAAAACTATATTTTTTATGCATGATTCATCAGTACAGCAAACATGGTACAATTACAGTTATAAATTTGAGAAAACCCTGAACAGTTGACAGTTCACAGCTATGTGTTTAATTACAATGCTTAAGTAACTGCAATACAGAAGAAGGGAAGTCAAATCCCTAGTGTGAATTAGACTCGAAGCTTTATATGAGAGTGATACTCCCAGATAAGTAATCCATGCCAATTTGCTAGCGCATGTATTTGTTGTACTCCTCAATAACCCCAGCATTCCCTCTGACCCAGAAACCAGCTTTACCATTGTCTGCAGAAGCTAGTCAGCAGAGGTGAAGTAAATGGGCACTTAACCCTTCAAATAAACCTCTTCATGTAGTAGCAGGCTAAAGGTTCATGTTTTGTGGACTGGAGCAAGAATTGGAAAGGGTGGTGGCAACTTCTAGGCAGGTACTGCATGAGCTACAGTCTACAAGAGTAAGTGACACCTGCTGAATTGTTTTCCCAGTGCCATTTCTATTTTCTTTTTAAATCAATTGGCACCTCTGTATCTCATATACTGTATAGACTCGTCACCACAGCACTCGTGCATTTGCGATACTGTATAGCTTATAGGGAAGACTGATGTGTCATTTATTTTGTTAAGTTGCCAGAAATGTTGACACTTTTTACAGTCTTCAATCTGGAAAAAAACAGAATCGTATTAGACTCACGCTAGTCACGAGAGTGCCCAGGCATTGGCCAAATTACTTACAAAAAAGGCCAACAGGCTGTGGGTAAATTTTTTTGTTTCTGGGACTTTTTACAATGTCCAGCCTAAAATCTGCAATAGTATCTGAGACGCACACTAGAGGACGACAGGCTGTAGCTATATTTTTCATTTATTGGAACAAAACTGAAAATAAAATACAAGCAGGGGAATTGATCAAAACTGGAGCAGACAAAATCTGGAGCAGTTGTCCAGGGCAGCCAATCAGTTTCTCTATTCAGTTTGTTCAGTTAAGATTTAAAAACAAAAGAGAGCATCTGATTGGTTGCTGTGAATAGCTGCTCCAGATTTTGCCTGCTCCAGTTTTGATAAATTCCTCTCATATTGTATATCTAAATTTACTTATATAAATAAAAACGTTATTAAAGTAATTCAATTATTGCTGGGCTTGTTACATTGGTAGGCATATTGGATTCCACTCTGTTTTTGGAGGATGAGTACTCTTACAATTATACATATCTAATCGTATAGATCAAAAGATTCTACAGCAACTGGAGTCAGGAACAGTCACTCACAGGCACAGTGGTGTGCAGAGAGATGCAGAGTTATGCAGAGCAAAAGGGACAGTGGTGACTAGTCTCAACCACAGGAAATGGGGACACAAAGCCCACATTTTTATGGATGCTATGCCGCACAGCATCACATGGAATGCAATAATAGATGGATGTGTGCCAGGGTTTCTCCAATCTAAATAATTCAAAATAATTTTATTGTGCCTGGAGTTTTTTGGGATAAATACTGTCAGAAACTGTTTTTGTGTTATAGAAAGACATGCTATTCAGTACCAGCTAGACTATTTCAAAGATGTGTCATAACAGACCACATTGGGTTTTGCAGATTTTATTCTAGAAACCACTGGTTCCTAAATTAGTTTTACATTAAAGCTAGGGTATTTTTTTGGCTTTTGGCTTGGTATCTAGAACAGATATTTAAATGTTTGTGAAAACCATTGATGCAGTATTGTAGTATACATTTGACTGTTTTAATAGATACCACCAGTACCTCACTGTAAAAGTATGGGAGGCACAGAGCAGCCATAGCATCACTGTGTTTGAAGATGCTGCAGGGGAAAGGCTTGAGAGAACTGACAAACTGCATAGAGAGGCATTAGGGTCAGTTAATAAACTGTACTTTAATTCTAATTGTAGGGGTAAGTGAATGTGCCTGGGTTTGGTTTGCAGGGTATTCATTGAAATCATTGTGAATTCTAATATTGGGAAATTATAGCCAGATCTCATTGAAGTCTTTGAGGGGTGAATCTTGAAACTCAATTCTGTCAATGTTCAAGGCTAATACGCAAGGGATTGTCAGACAAAGGGCATGGGGAGCAGGGTACTGCCATGGGGGATATGTCCCAATGCAAAAACAATTTTAAAAAATAGAGGATTTGAGGACAATATGGGAAAAACACCAATTCTTTCAATTACATGCTTGCAGATCCCTTTAAGCTGTATGTGGTATTACAGAATGGGACAGCATGAGCAAAGCTCTATTCTGGCATCACATATTTTGCATGTGTAATAGATACTTTTACATCATTGCAACAGCACCTCAATCTAATTAATTAAAAAAAGGCTTTTTTGTAGTTTTGGCTGAGACACCAGATTTTTTATCAAGCAGTAAAGTGCCTGAATTGACTGGTAAAAGTAGCAATTACCACAGATCTAAAAGCAACGATAAAGTGAATTCTGAATTCTAAATAAAGCAAATGCCCTTAAAGTAGAACTTAATTCAAGACTTTTTTGGATAGAATAGTTATAACCCTTTCCATCTGTGTCCCATTGGGGAGATTTCCATTCACTTCCTGTCAAATAGCCACAACAGAAAAAGAGGAAATCCCTCCAAAGCAAGGGAATTCATTGGTGGTCAGCAGGATCACCAGAAGTAGTGCTCCTGTTGGAAGATTTCCCATCTGCTCCTGTTCTGATGACAACCCAAAAATCTGGATTTTCTTTCACTTTCACTGATAACAGTCATTAAGTCATTAGGACAAATAGAGGGTAAATCTCCCAAATTGGGACACAGACAGCAATTAAATCCTGACAAGTGTTCTAATCCCTCTCCAATCTATCCAAATCTTTAAAAAAAATTGGCTTCAGCTGCACTTTAACTTTGTACCAATTGACCAGTAGCAAAACTGTTTCGTAGCACAGTTTGTGATCTTTTTTTCACAGTATCACCCTGCATCGTGTTAAAAGTTTAATAAAATGTCAAAACAGAGTGCACAAAAACCTTTGAAAACCACAACACACACTGCAGACATGATGCAGTTTCCATCCTGAAATAAAAATTAGAGTCCATTTATTTCAAAGACAATAGCCACGCAGTACAGTGGCTGGAGAGCATGTAAGCATCTTGATTAGGTCTCAATGCAAGCGGGAAAGACCAGGCAGTTTTTATCATGAAATAAAAATTACAGTGTAATATTTCACATACAATAGCCACAAATATTGTACAGTTGCTGCACAGTATGTAAGCAGCTTAGCTAGCCCGCATGTATAAGTGAGAGGCGATGTAGGGTTTATCATAAAATAAAGAATATGGTGTATTAGTTCATAGACCATAGCCACAAATATTGCACATTTGCAAGCAAGTATATAAGCAGCACTTTGTAAGAGGGAGGAATGAGGCAGCATCTATTATGAAATTAAAATTAGAGTGTAGCTTAAATTATTGTATAGTCACTGCACAGTATATGAGCAGCTTGATTACTCTGCAATATAAAAAGGAGAAATGAGCCACAATGTATCATGACATCTAAATTATATTTCAGAAACAATACCCACAAATATTGTACATTCACTGGAGGATGTGTAAGCTGCTTGATTAAGATGCATTGTAAAAAGGGAGATATGAGGCAAATTTTATCTGTAAATAAATATTATTAACAATACTGCAATAAATAGTGCAATATGCTGAAGAGATAATATCCTCAATTTTTTTGAGTGCTTGAGCACTGAAATAGACCACAAACTAGGAGAAACCGAGCATGATTTACTTCTGAAAAAATCGACAACTTTGCAGCTGAGGTCCAGCTTCAGAAACATTAGGTGTGTCACCTTTACAGTGCCTGAACACTGGAATAGTCTGAAAACTTTGAGGCAGGAATTACCGTACGGCAAAATTTACAAATGCAGCTGAGCTTCAGCTTGTAAATTATTAAGCATAGCACCTATACCTATATGGTTGCACACTATTCTGACCTGCTGCAAGACATCCTGGAAACCAGGGTGCCTAACTAGGAGCATCTGCATCACCTGGTTTAGGACATGTGCCATGTGTGGGAAGTTTCCCTGCTGAAGGATGACCAGCACGTTGGTGCCATTGTTACACACCACCTTACCTAGCACAAGATGGCATTGGATCAGCTACCTCTCAGCCTGCCCCTAAAGAGCTGCCAGAATCACAAGGTACAATGTGGCTTCTGTTGCCCAGGCATGCCAGCAACAAAACAGTGTGCCAGAGTTTTGCCCAGTCTGTTGCATAGTCCAGGAGCACTTGGGAAGAGGAGGGAAGTCCGGTGGTTCTGGGGCATCACTGGATGTGAGGTCATTAAGAAGTGGCTAGAGGTGACTGTGCTGTTACCATCAGCAAAGGGCAATGATTCCACCAACTCCAGTGTTGAGTTCCATCTTCCATACCTCCCAACTGCCAGCAATATTACCCAGGATAATAAGGGAGATGTAACCCATGCTTGCTGCACCACGTGCCTGTGGTAATGTGGACTCTGCCACTGACCACATGGTTCAGCAGCAACATAGAGACATTGCTGTCCACATGCTAGTAGAGGGCAGGGATGGCCTTCTGGCCTGAAAAATTATGGTAGGGTGCCTGCCACTGTGGTGCAACACAGGCTATAAACTAGTTGAAGGGGGCCACCTCCACTTGCATGTTTGAGAATTCCTGCAAAGCTAGCAGTTTTCCCAAACTGGCATTGAGATGCTTAGGGGACAATATTTTTTTGCTTCAGCAGCTGCAGAGGTAATGCCTGCCTGGTCATAGATGGTGATGTAGATGTCGGTGTGGGGTTGTTCATTTTTTGTTCTCATTATTGGGGGCTTTTTTGTCTTTTTTTTAATATTGTGGTTGATTTGAGGTCAGTGGTTACTTTGCTGCTGCCCTGTCCATAGCAAACTTTTTTTGTTTTTTTTTGGCTGCAAGGTTTACCCTTTAAAAAGGCTTTATTCAGTAGTTGGTATGTTGGGGTTTTCATTTATTTAACTGGTGTATGGGTTTTAAAATAAAGCCTTATTTTGTTGTTTATTTAGTCCAACA